TATTTTTTAAGCGCCGATCCATGTTATTATGATGATATGCATCCTAGGCATGGATAGACCGGCGGTTGATTTCAGATTGCCTAAACTCCCAATATTGATTGCTGCATTCTAGACAGTTATGTCTGGTAGGCAATTTCAAACCTTCATTCCAGCAGTATCTGAAGAAAGGACAATTCCAGTGTGATTTGGCTTATTTCCTTTCATACCTTTCTTCTTCCATTTGTCACTGGTATTCTTGATCCTCTAACCATCGCTGATAATCTTTTTCCTTCTGCCGCCGCCACTTATTCAACTGGATCCGAGATGTGACTCGCGGCTTCATTGCTCCATCCTTTGACGTTTTCCCCTACTCATATCGACTCCTCTGCTTATCATGATGTTTTCTAATCTCTCTGTATTCATCAGCCGATATTTGCATCTTGAAATCAACTGTTCCAGCTTCTCTTGATTTGGCCGATGTTAGGACCTTAGTCTTTCCTTTGAATAGCCCAACATCAACCATATTTTGATCTCCTGAGAAAGGATTATCATCAATTTTTATCTTCCGAGGTGTATCGAACTTGAGCCTCCCTTGCTGAATAGCCTTCTGTATATGCTGCCGAAAAATTCTACACTCATTAGTGGAATGAGAAGTAGCATTATGGAACTTCCAGAACTTCTTATTCTTCAACTGTTTAGGGGGCAACATAACATGATTGTCCGGCAATTTGATCTGGCCCTTCTCAAGTAAGAAGTCAAAGAGCTTGTCCGATTATGTGACATCGAAGTCATAGCTCTCCTCGACCCTCTTCCCCAAGAATTTGGCACCATTACTATCTTCTTGCCCCAATTCCATTCAGCTGCAGCAACCTCTTCTTCTTCATCTTCATCTTCATAGCCGTCATCAATTGAGTATGGATCATAAGCTTCGGCTACTGTGGTGCTTTTCTAGAATCGGGTATCTCTGCGCATACTCTAGAATTAGCTATTGAACACTGCTACCCGTTGAGCCAATTGTCCCAAGTTGTCAAATTCTTGTCCTAGCAGCTTTTCTTTCCATATTGGCAGCATTCCTTGGACAGCTAAAGCAGCTAGCTGATCATCGGCCAAGTTCAATGAGAAGCACAAGTTCCTAGTTTCTCAGAATCTCTGAAGAAACTCAGTGGCTGATTCATTAGTCCTTTGTCTCATGGTTGTCAAATCGGTTATCTTCTTTTCTCCAGTCCTAGTGTAAAAATATGTATGAAACTTCTTCTTTAAGTCAACCCAATTAGCAATGGAGTTGACTGATAGCGACGAAAACCAAGTGAAGGCTGGCCCTGACAGGGATAAGGAGAAGAAATGAACTCGATGGGCATCCTCAACTAATGCTTCACCCAATTGTGTAAGATACCGACTGACATGTTCTATTGTGCTTGTGCTGTCTTGACCAGTGAACTTGGCGAACTCTAGAAGCCTGTAATTTGTAGGAAGAGCGACCAAATTATACCATTCTGGATATGGGCGTTTATACGAAAAGGTCAGCCCTTTTGGCTTCAGACTAAACTGATTCTTCATCATCTCGGTCACCTTCAGCAGCAACTCGTCAGCTTGCGGATTTGGATTTCTCGGTACTTGCTGACCCATCTGTGGATTGAAATCTCATGTGCCTTGATATCCTGGATGTGGTATCATGTGGAGAGTGTTATAATCTGTGCCATAGTGATATCCTTGTGGAATCTCAATCTGCTAGGTCCTCTGCTAGCTTGCTGCTTGAAGTCTCTCATTGTAGATATAAGGATCTATATCTCTATAAATCCTTTGAATTGATGGTGCTATTTTTTGAGCCGATGATGGTATGTGGCCTGATGTGCCAAAATTGATCATCTAGTTTTGACTTTGCCCCACCGGCTGTTGCACATGCTGTATCGACGGTCTAGGATTGTACTGTATCTGATTCGTAGTAGTACCTAGAGTTTGTTCAGACGAACCTTGAAGTGCCTGGACATCACCATTACTAGCTGGTGCTGCTTCTTGATGGCTGGTACCAACTTGATTAGTTCCTTGGGTCGACGGATCTAGAATGTTGTAACAAGTCGATCCAACCTAACTAACTGGAATTCCATGAATCACCTCTTTCATGGCGTTGTGAAATGCGTCAACGAAAGCTTCATTGCGGCTTGATATGGCATCACGAACAGATTTGTCTATGGCTTCCGTAAAGAAATGCCTATCTTCAGCTTCGACTGTTTCTATCTGCCCGTGTAGTAGAACTCTTGGTAGTGGAAATTTCTGAATAATTATGCTGTCACGTGTTTTGGTGTAGGACAACAAACACTTCTTCTAAAATTCTTCTGTAGCTTTGCTAATGGTATCCTTATCTTCATCAGGTAGGTCTTCATAATGTACCATAAGGATGTTGTCGTTGTTGTGAACCGCCATGACGATTGTGGTGTCCCACCGGGTGTGCCAGAAACGTGTGTCAATACAGAATTTTTGTCTCCGTGCCGAGGACACACGCAGGAAGCCAGAAGGGTCCGCTCGATGGAGCAGATCCATCTAGCTTCAGCGTAAGGATGGTCGATCCTGCGCAATCCTCCCGAGACGTGCCAGTCAATTTGACCCTACAATTGACAAGGAGAGAAAGCTTATCAGTAATTAAGGGCAGAACATGCCAGTGTTGCCAGACAGTCCCGAATGTGCGGCTCTGAGAGCCGATATGAGAGGAGATCGACTAAATAGTCGATTCCAGCATATTAATAAGAATAAACCGATTAAAGCTCGTGGGATTGTATAAGAAGAATCGGTTATCATTCAGGATAAATATTATTTAAGCAAATATTAATCAATGGCAATAAGATATCAATGATGATCGGTTTATACTGAGCCAATGATTACAAGTAACCGAACCCCTTTTTATATAAAGAAACGATTCAACACCGCTTAACCATTTAATAAAGATAAATCTAATGAACATGTTAGATCTCATCTATCACCATGACCAGTGGGGCATGAGGCAGAATCATGTAGGCCATAGAAACAACAATAGACTCGATGACCCTAACTCATTACTAATATCAGTGGGGCATGAGGCAGAATCATATAGGCCATAATACAATAACAAGATCATGGGGCTAACATATCTTTCAACTTATCTTTACTTCAACGATCTCGTAATGTGAACTATTCGTGAAAACGCTCGATATCAGCTAAACAGCCGATTCAGGCATAGCACACAGTTAAAGTCATGCCTTCTCAGGAACGGGTCTACCAACTAACGATCTCCACTCCACGGTGCCAACAGTGGGGTGAGAGGCAGAATCTCGCAGGTTATGATGACGGGCCATGGAACGGTTTTCATTAACTAATAGATCTACTCAAGATCGAACATGCCTTGACTGCATGCTATGCACGATTAAGATTGACGCAAAACAACCGATAAAAACATAACTCATCGCTTAAGATGTAGATTAGATCAATTTTAGATTAGCAAACGATGAGTTAAACAAGATATAAGGCCGATCCAGATCAATCTCAATCGGGTAGAGTGATATTGCTGTAATTAGATAAATAATCAAAGCAATAAGCAATATCGGTAACTTAATGAATCTACCAAAGACTGCCATACTAAGGTAGAGCCGATAAGTTGACCTTGATCTAATTCAAGCAGTGGGGTGTGAGGCAGAATCACACAGGCCATACTTGAATTAGACAAGAGTCGATAACTAGCCTATACTAGAGTCATAGTGGGGGTCGATCGGATCGATGCAGCCATACGAATAGAGGTATAAACCATGACGGTACTTACAGACAAGCAGTGGAGGTCGACTGGATCGATGCAGCCGTACTCGCTGAAGAAGTCGCCGAGATCTACTCTACTCCTACTCCTAAGGGGTGACCGAAGCCAAAAAAAGTAATTGACTTGTATTTGATTGATTGTTGTTCTTTTACAATAGCCGAGGTTTGGTATTTATACCCGGAGCCTAAAAATGAACCTTACTCGAGTATGACTCAATACAATCTTTGGCATAATAAAAACATTCTGAATTTAAGATAACTTGGACTCTAATCTTTCCCTTTTTGTAGAGTCCAACATGTCTTGTCCCTAGCATCGATCGTAACCTCTGTCGTTATCTATTGGCGCTATCTAAAGAAAGCCGATTCTAGTGCTGCGTCCGAATCAACTAGCTCTCGATCTCCACGTAGGTGATTCCTTGATGACATGATTTCGGGAGCTTCTAGACCTCTGCAACTCTTCTTCCATATTCTGGTGTAAACAAGAGGTCCCAGAACCGGTTGTACCTGCTCGACCTTAAGGTAGAGTAGCCGGTGTGCCTGGCGGCAAGGCACACCGATGAACTGTGGCTATGGCATACCCGGTTCAGACATCTTAGCTTCGATGCACTTGGTCGACTGGAGAAGATGATCCGAGGGCTACCCCACTTTGAGCACAGAGGTGAGTTATGTGACAGCTGCCTATCCAGGAAGCAGAGGAGGCTACCATTCCCAAAGGCGGCCAAGTATCGCGTGGAGGACGCTCTTGAGCTTGTCCATGGTGACCTTTGCTGGCCGATCACGCCAGCCACAAATGGTGGTTGGCGGTACTTCCTCCTGCTCATGGATGATTGCAGTCGCTACATGTGGCTGCAACTCCTAATGAGCAAGGACGAAGCGGCGGTGGCGATCAAGAAGTTCAAGATGCGCACGGAGGCCGAGAGTGGCAAGAAGCTCCGGGTGCTAAGGACTGATTGAGGCAGCGAATTCACTTCGGTGGAGTTCACTACGTACTATGCATATCAGGGTGTGGTGTGCCACCACACCGCGCCATACTCGCCACAACAGAATGGCATGGTGGAGCGACGAAACAAGACGGTGGTCGGCATGGCTCGATCCATGATGAAGGCCAAAGGCATGCCAGGAAGGTTCTGGGGTGAGGTGGTGACCACGACGGTGTTCATCCTCAACCGCGCTCCCACCAAGGCCCTGAATGGCAAGATGCATTCCGTGTTGGTGGTAGCATGCACATGGATGCCTTGCGACAGATGACTCAACTACGAGGAAAACTTCATGCTGGGGATCTCCGTCAGGTTGACATTGGTGTGCTCAGCAAGGGCATCCTGAAGGGAATGTAGTGTTAGATAATCTTCTCTGCATCCCTTGTATGAATGCGCAGCAAGGGAAGGCGGCGCCGAAAAGGGCTCCCTGCTGTGGCTCTATAGCAGCTGCAGGGGCAGGCGCTGAATGGCTCACCTACCGCATTGTAGCCACAGCAGGGGCAGACACCAAAGTTAGCCCTGCTGTCACATCTAGTAACTGTAACAGCATGGCAGGTGTACTAGGACTAGATGGATAGAGTTGTATATATAGTTTACCACTGCAACTCAGTAAAGAGAGTTCTGATTTATTATCTCCTATACAGGGCTCTGGCCAATGTTGGTGTCTCTGGCTATGTCTAGCTCTGTTCTCCCTCTCTTCTTCTACCTCTATCCATAGTGTGTGGTCGGACAATGTCTGTCGTGGTCAGCCATGGTCGATAAGACTTGTGAGTTGTCAACTCACCTGAGCCGGTGATCTTGTGGGCTAACATGCAGCACCTGAATGAACTACAACTGTCATGGAGTAGCTATGATGGCCAAAGCAAAGAGATGTCCAAGGATGAAGAAGTACTTGAGTGCTTGCAACCACACGACAATCTAAGGTTCCTGAGAATTGTGGGGTATGGAGGCATCAAATTCCCATCATGGATGACGAAGACATCTAGTTCTTTGTTGAATGTGACATCCATGTGCTTAACTGACTGCACAAACTGTAAGACCCTACCTCCCTTGCATATCCCGCCTAGGCTTGAGGTTCTTCAGATCAGTAGGATGCATTCTATCACTAAAGTGAGCACTATTCCCCAACGATCAGATCAAGAATTATTTTTGAAGCTCAAGAGGCTAGTCATTGAAACCGCACCACATTGCACAGAGTGGTCAACAGGCAACTCAAAATAAAAAAGGATGGCATTTCCATATCTTTGTGAGTTTGAGATAAGGAACTGCCCAAAGCTGATGTTCTTTCCTAATCTTCCCCTTCACTGACAGTCATGGTAGTCGAGAATGTTGGTTTCGAGATGCCACCAAGAATTCATGATAAGCAACCATCAACAGAAGAAGCCTTGGAAGCAACATCAAAAGAAGGAAGGTGGACATCAAGGCTTACCACATTACATGTTCATCAGTGTCATAGGCTGAGATCTCTAGGCACTAGCCTGCTTCAGCAGTAGCACCTGCTAAAGTCCCTTGAGTTGCTGTCAATAAAGAACTATGACTGTTGAGTTATGATCCAAATTTAGTTATGTACAAGATAAAGGCTAACTTCTGTCAGAGCAAAGCGAGGCCCGTCGCCGGGAGGCTTGGGCCGGTTTGGATCATCGCCTATTAGGCTTACCACATTACATGTTCATTAGTGTCACCGGTATGGATCGTCGCCTATTAGGGTTTTCCATCTATATATACTTCCAATAAGCCATCATCTTGGGGTAAGAAAAGTTGTAAATCCCCAACGTTTGTAACCTCACCCGATATAGTGAAGATTTGCTGGCTGGTGCCCATGTTTTTTCCCTTCTTCCTTGGAAGGGTTTTCCATGTTAAAATCTTGTGTCCCCTGTGTTTGATCTATTGTTCTTCATTGTTTATATTGCCTATTGTTTATAACAAGTGGTACCAGAGCTTGGTTTCACATTAGGGTTTCGCGATGGCATCGATGAAGTTTGATCTACCGCTGCTAGATTACAAGACGAGATTTGCGTTGTGGCAAGTCAAGATGCGGACGATTCTGGCACAATCTTTGGATCTTGATGAGGCGTTGGATGGTTTTGGAGGCAAAGGGCAGAAGTCATGGACCGCTTAAGAGAAGAGGAAGGATCGTAAGGCTCTGTCTCTGATTCAACTTCGTCTACATAATGATATTTTATAAGAAGTGCTGCAGGAGAAAACTGCCGTAGAACTTTGGCTCAAGCTGGAACCGATCTACATGTCTAAGGATCTAACCAGTAAGATGCACGTGAAGATGAAGTTGTTCATGCACAAGCTGCAAGAAGGTGGTTCGGTGATGAACCACTTATCGATCTTTACGGAGATCGTTGCCGACCTAGTGTCGATGGAGGTAAAATATGATGATGAAGATTTAGCTCTTCTACTGTTATGCTCACTGCCTAGTTCATTTGCAAATTTCTAAGATGCCATACTATTAAGCCATGATGAACTAACCCTTGTAGAAGTATATGAGGCCCTCCAGTCGAGGGAGAAGATGAAAGGTATTGTTCAGTCTGACGTGTCGTCCTCCAAGGGCGAAGTGTTGTAGGTTAGAGGGAGGCCCGAGCAGAAAACCTACAACAACAACAATAATCGAGACAAGAGCAAGAACGGTAAAGGTTGTTCGAAGTCTAGAGGTAGGGATAAGTTCAGCAGGTATTGTAAGAAAGATACTCATGTCATTGAGGATTGTTGGAAGCTACAGAATAAGGAGAAAAGAAACAGTACGTATAAACCAAAAAACAAATCTGATGGTGATGGTAAGGCCTCTGTTGTCTCCGCTGTTGATACTTCTGATTGAGGAGACGTTCTTGTTGTTTTTGCTGGTTGTGTTGCTGGTCGTGATGAATGGATACTTGATTCTGCATGTTTGTTTCATATATGCTCTAACAGAGATTGGTTCAGTTCTTACGATTCTGTGCAGAGTGGAGATGTCATGCGTATGGGAGATAACAACCCACGTGAGATCATGGGCATTGGCTCCATTCAGATCAAGATGCATGATGGCATGATACGCACACTAAAAGATGTGAGACACATACCAGGGATGGCCAGAAATCTCATCTCCCTCAGCACACTTGATGCCGAGGGGTACAGACACTCCGATTCAGGTGAAGTGTGTAAGGTGTCAAAAGGCTCTTTCATTCATATGATAGGTGATATGAATTCTGTAAAGTTATATGTTCTTAGAAGAAGTACTTTACATGGTTCTATCACTGCTGCTGCTATGTTCTAATGATGAACCAAGTAAAACTAATCTCTAGCATATGTGTCTTGGGTATATGAGTGAACTTGGTATGGCAGAATTGATCAGGAGAGACCTACTGGATGGCTGGCCCTGTGGGTAAGATGAAGTTCTATGAGCACTGTGTTTTTGGTATGCACAAGAGGGTAAAATTCAATGCATCTGTTCATACCACCAAAGGTACACTTGGTTATGTACATGCTGATTTGTGGGGGTCGTCTCGTAGGCCCTCTTATGGTGGTGCTCGTTACATGTTTACCATTATTGATGATTACTCTAGAAAAGTGTGGCCTTATTTTCTAAAAAATAAAGATGATACTTTTGCTGCTTTTAAGGAGTGGAAAGTTATGATAGAAAGGCAAATTAAAAACAACGTAAAATTGCTTCATACTGACAATGGCGGTGAATTCTATTCGGATGCTTTTAATGATTACTACAGGGAAGAAGGCATTGTCTGGCACCACACCATCCCATACACTCCTCAGCAGAATGGTGTGGCTGAGCGCATGAACCGAGTCATCATCTCGAGGGCTCGTTGCATGCTGTCCAATGCTCGTATGAACAGGCATTTTTGGGCTGAGGCTGCTAACATCGTCTGTTACTTGATCAACCGGTCACCTTCTATCCCACTTAATAAGAAAACTCCCATTAAGGTATGGTCTGGTATGCCTGCTGATTATTCACAGTTGAGAGTTTTTGGTTGCACTGCTTATACTCATGTTGATAATGGAAAGCTAGAACCTAGAGCCATTAAGTGTCTGTTTTTTGGTTATGGTTCTGGAGTTAAAGGATATAAGTTATGGAATCCTGAAACTAAAAAGACTTTTATGAGCAGGAGCATTGTTTTCAATGAATCTGTTATGTTTAATGATAGCTTGTCCATAGATGTTTCTCCAGTTGGTTCTGGTGAGAAGCATCAACATGTTAGTATGCAGGTGGAGCACGTAGATGATCAGGAAACTGAAATTGTTGATAATAATGTTCATGATATTGTTCAACACTCACCTCCTATTTTGCAGCCTCAAAATCAGTTTATTACAGATCGCAGAACAAAGAGGAATTGTGGACCTCGACCACGTTTAATTGAGGAATGTGATATTGTTCATTATGCCTTTAGTGGTGCTAAACAGGTGGAGAACATTCATGAGCCGACTACGTACACTAAAGTTGTTGTTTCTGGTGACCGTGAGAAGTGGATTTCCACCATGCAATAGGAGATGCAGTCACTCGAAAAAATGGCACATGGGTTGTTGTGCGCTTGCCTAAACAAAAGAAGGCCGTTCGTTGTAAATGGATCTTCAAGAGAAAGGAGGGTTTATCTTCTAGTGAGCCTCCAAGATTTAAGGCAAGGTTAGTAGCAAACGGCTTCAGTCAGATTCCTGGTGTTGATTATAATGATGTGTTCTCTCCAGTTATAAAGCATAGTTTAATTCGTACATTTTTCGGTATTGTTGCTATGCGAGATCTTGAGCTTGAGCAGTTAGATGTAAAGACTGTGTTTCTACATGGAGAGCTCGAGGAGGAGATATACATGGTCCAGCCAGAAGGGTTCATAGTACCTGGTAAGGAGGATCATGTTTGCAAATTAAAGATGTTCTTATATGGTTTGAAACAGTCTCCTCGTCAATGGTATAAAAGGTTTGATTCTTTTATGATGTCACATGGTTTTAAGAGGTCTGAATTTGATAGCTGTGTGTACATTAAATTTGTTGATGGATCACCTATATACTTGTTGTTATATGTTGATGATATGTTGATTACTGCCAAGAGTAAGAAAGAAATCACTACGTTGAAAAAACTGTTGAGTAGTGAGTTTGAGATGAAGGATCTTGGTGCTGCTAAGAAAATTCTAGGTATGGAGATTACAAGAGACAGAAATTCTGGTTTGTTATTTCTTAGTCAGCAAAGTTACATTAAGAAAGTTCTTTATCGTTTTAACATGCATGATGCAAAGTCTGTTAGTACTCCTATTGCTCCTCATTTTAGATTATCAGCTTTACAATATGCTAGTACGGATGAGGATTTTGAGTACATGTCAAGAGTTCCATATTCTAGTGTTGTTGGTTCTTTAATTTATGCTATGGTTTGCTCTCATCCTGATTTATCATATGCTATGGGTTTGGTTAGTAGATACATGGCTAATCCTGATAAAGAACACTGGAAAGCTGTTCAGTGGATTTTCAGGTACCTTCGTGGCACAACAAATGCGTGTTTGAAGTTTGGCAAGACAGATAAGGGACTCACTGGCTACGTGGATTCAGATTTTGCTGCCGATTTGGATAAGAGGACATCTCTCATAGGTTATGTGTTCACTATTGGTGGTTGTGCTGTGAGTTGGAGGGCAACATTGCAGCCTGTTGTTGCCATGTCTACCACTGAAGCAGAATACATGGCCGTTGCTGAAGCATGTAAAAAATCGGTTTAGTTGAAAGGTTTGTTTGCTGAGCTTTGTGGAAATGATTCTTACATTAATTTATTTTGTGACAGTCAAAGTGCTATATGTCTCACTAAAGATCAGATGTTTCATGAGAGAACGAAGCACATTGATGTTAAATACCATTATGTTCACGATGTTGTCGTGCAAGGTAAGCTGAAGCTATGCAAGATAAGCACACATGATAATCCTGCTAGTTTGTTGACAAAGCCAGTTCATGTTGCTAAGTTTGAGCTTTGCTCAAGTTTAGTTGGTATAACCGTTTAGCCCAAGAGGCTATTTGGCACCGGAAGTATTTTTTTATTGTTTTAGGGTAAAGGTTCGTTTTATGCTACAAGAAGGAATTTGTCTCAAGGTGGAGTTTGTTGAGTTGTGATCCAAATTCAGTTATGTACAAGATAAAGGCTAACTTCTGCCCGAGCGAAGCGATGCCCGTCGCCGGGAGGCTTGGGCCGAAGCGAAGCGGACAGTCATGGTCATAGGCAGTCGAGAATGTTGGTTTCACTGATCTTCCCCTTTCACTGACAGTCATGGTCGTCGAGAATGTTGGTTTCGAGACGCCGCCAAGAATTCATGATAAGCAAGCATCAACAGAAGAAGCCTTGGAAGCAACATCAAAAGAAGGCAGGTGGACATCAAGGCTTACCACATTACATGTTCATCAGTGTCACAAGCTGAGATCTCTAGGCACTGGCCTGCTTCGGCAGCAGCACCTGCTAAAGTCCCTTGAGTTGCTGTCAATCAAAAACTGTGACCGTTGAGTTGTGATCCAAATTCAGTTATGTACAAGATAAAGGCTAACTTTTGCTAGGAGCGAAGTGAGGCCCGTCGCCTGGGAGGCTTGGGCCGGTTTGGATCGTCGCCTATTAGGCTTACCACATTACATGTTCATTAGTGTCGCCGGGAGGCTTGGGCCGTCGCCGGTATGGATCGTCGTCTATTAGGGTTTTTTCATCTATATATACTTCCTGTAAGCCGTCGTCTTGGGATAAGAAAAGTTGTAAATCCCCAACGTTTGTAACCTCACCCGATATAGTGAAGATTTGCTGGCTGGTGCCCGTTGTTTTTTCCCTTATTCCTTAGAAGGGTTTTCCACGTTAAAATCTCGTGTCCCCTGTGTTTGATCTACTGGTCTTCGTCGTTGATATCGCATATCGTTTATAACAGTGACAGCGTCATCTGCGACATCCCTGATGGGTTCAAAGATCTAACTGAACTGAGGGACATCTCCCTATATGACTGCCCCAAGATGGTTGTCGACAAGTTCCACACCTCGGTGCGAACAGTGGAGATCAGTGAGTGTTTCGTTGCACATGGTAGATGGACGGATGAGGATCCATTCCTCTTCTCGGTTTGGAACCTGAAAATAACTGGGTGCTCCCACGTAAGCAGCGATCAGGTCAGCAAGATAGAGCATTTGGACTGGTTGAGCTCCCTGCTCAATGTGTACAACCTTCACCTGGAGAACACAGTGCTTATGAGATTATACATGTTCGACCAGCTCCCTTCTCTTGAGATTCTAGACATTGATGGATGTGATGCATTCTTTGCTGATTTATCTGACTTCGCTTGGCTTGAGAAGCTGCAGGTCCTCAACATTAGGAACTGTAGGGAAATGAGTGGGCTTCCGGAGAACTTATGCAGGCTTCCTGCATTGGAAGAGCTGTGTGTTCAGAACTGTCCGGACATTGAGGCATTGCCAGAGAACGGCCTGCCAACATCTCTGAAAAGACTTTCAATCTCTAATTGTGGTCTTCGGCTGACTAAGCGGTGTCTTGATGATGAACTTGACAGGCCAAAGATTGCACTGATTGGCACAGTTTATATTGACGGGAAATGCATTCGGCCAAAATGAGTTGACATGTAATTCTTCTTCCAAGTCATACATAGGCTCTCCATTTCTTCACAACTATGATTTTCCCCAAGTCTTTCTGTCATAGACACCTGTGTCTGCAAGCAAATGGTGAAAATGATACTATATGATCTGTTTTTCTGCTGCGCCTGAACTTTGGTTCCTGTACTGGTCTTGAATTGCTCTTTGATAGACAAGATTCTTGATATAAAACGCAACAGGCTTAGTGAGCCTAAACTAGAGTTCATGGAGTTAAGTGACACAAATCAATCTTTGATAATTGGTGTCTACAACAAGGTATACAAGCTACAACAGCAACCAACAAAATAAAAACATGAGACTGAATTCATGCAACAATGATCTTAAATCTACCATCAAACTGTAAATTTCGAAATTATGTCAGTCAAACTAACACGAACTTTGAATCGATGATGTCAATGTTGTTTGAATAAGATGCATCTCACCTTCTACAATTAGAAAGAAACAAAATTTTCGGAACTAAGGCATTACTGACTTCATTCTTGCATTCAAGTTAAAAAAAAGAAAGAGGAGAAATCAAAACATACCAGTAAGGGCATTTTCGGACATGGACTAGAGACGGTGAACTGGAATCCAAATCGTACTGAGTTAATTCGAATCATACCTTGGTGAGACATAAGGCTAGGTACAAGGAAAATTGACATATCATTGAGATTGGAATTGACGTGACCTCTGTACTCAGCAGTCAGCACCCGACGACGCATGGTCCGCCTTATCCGCAACGGAGATTCAACAATAGCTTGGAGCTTGGTGCGTCTTCATCAGGTCCAGTCTTGAATTTTTAGGGGTCCAAGGTGAAACAAAAAATTGGGGCCCGTATGTACACATGAACCACAACTCTTTTGGATATTCGAGAAAAAAAAACATGAATAACGCCGTAGCCACCGTGACGCATGACTTCAGCAAGGAGATGTTACGATGGAAGCGCATATTGCAAGCATATGTTTCAAGTGTTTAGACATTTCAGAGGTATGTTGCAATTATTTTATATGTATGTTGCAAAAATAGATCATGGATGTTGCACATGTTGCAAGTGTTTAGAGGTATGTTGCAATTATTTCATATGGATGTTATAAAAGTAGATCAGAGATGTTGCACATATTGCAAGTGTTTCAGAGGCATGTTGCAAGTGTTTCAGATGTGTTGCTCCAAATGTTTTATTTGTTCTAGACGTATGTTGCAAGCGTTCTGATCTGGATGTTGCACATGTTTCACACATATGTTGCAAGAATATGTTTGAAATGTTTTAGCTGTTTTAGTCTTATGTTGCAGTGCATGCTTTTATGGTGGCAAGTTGCAAGTGTTTAATCTAATGTTGCATATGTTTCACACATATGTTGCAAGTGTATGTTCTAAATGTTTTATCCGCTTCATATGGATGTTGCATTCAAATGTTTAGTGTTGCATGTGTTTCATACTGTTTGGAGAGTCAACAGGCGCAGGGAGTGATGGTGGCACGATACGGTGAAAGCATCTAGGCCCCTAGTTGGGTTTCGGTGATTAATGACGACACAAGATTACTATGACTAACGTGTATTTTACAGAGGCAAATTGAGTTAGGTCATGGTAATGATGATTGATTGGCCAATTATGACTTTCATGTCCCTATCAATGGAAATCGTTTCGGTTTTTAAAGAATGAACGACAAGGTTAAGGACAAACTAGTTCTAAGTGTCGTTTGGCACTGAGAAACACTTAGAGCAGTTTATGACTTTGTTTTTCCTTTGACTGTACTATTAAGGGGGGTATGAACTAGTAGATTAACCAAGGTGAGTCTAATGTGTTAGGTGTGGTGCATACTTGTCAAACTTAACACTAGATAGCTCAGGGACAGCCCAAAGATCAAATGAAACAATCCCCGTTCACAAAGTTTTTGAATCGGAAGTGAAAGGAGGGATTGGGTAGGTGTCGGACCGTGCTGTGGCATGGTCGTTGGGCCAATCATTCTGGGTCCGATGTGTACGTGGCTCATTTTGGTTGCAGCTCAGGCAAGCTCAAGCGTTGGAACCTGGAGATCGGCGTCATTAGACAGGTCGAGGGGACTGTTCACTCATGCGGTTGATCCAGGAAGCGTCGGACCGAGGCGTCGGACCAACTTGTGTCTGGGTCCAATGGTGTCCAGAAACTACACCGAGAGGATTTTTAAGCGTCGGACTATGGCAGAACTGCCTAATCTAATGCCTCTCAGGAGTACTTGTCCTCCATTAGACACTAAGTACTCAAAGGAAGACGCCAAATTAAGCAGTTGCGTCGAGCACACCCCAAGAGAGAACAAAAAAATCCATATTTTTTCATCAGGATTACAAATGAGAGAATAAAGCTTACCACATTTTAGCCATTTCTTACATCACTTTTAATACAATATCAGAGTTATGAATAATTTAATTTAATAATGGAATATAAACATGTGATCAGAGTTACAGCGGAAATAAATATCTATTCAAGACATGATGAAGCATTGATATATAAGCTATGACAACAGATTATAAAACTTCTATTTATAAAAATATTTAGTGAGAGTTATAAATAAAAATTATGATCGCTGCGTAAAGGAATCTTCTCTGAGCCCACTAGGAGGAATCCACACACAAGAGTCAGCTCTAGCATTCGCTTCTTACCTGCAATAGGAGGAAATAAAACTCTGAGTACTCAATTGTACTCCGCAAGACTTATCCACTGAGGAGGAAAGAAAAGACTTCAAGGATATGTAAGGCTATCTAGCTTGTGGTTTATTGCATCTGCAGAAAGCATTACTAAACGTACGTCCTTATATTCAATTTCATTAGCAGTCATCATTAGTTTATTAACTAACCATTCTATGTAAGCACATGTACTACTTTCAAGCAAGTGGTAAGCAATCAGAACCATTTTACCATCTTTTATATTCCAGTTCTTACTATGATGCCAGATTATAGACAAGTCGTACCGGATTACCTAGCGATTTGCGAACCAATGTGCCTAGCTGGGTATCCCGAAACACACGCCCCACTTGTACCCCAGGCACAAGCAGGACCAACCCACCACTCTCTTGTCAAGGGGTCTAGATCCCCGTCTAAACTTGGACTCTAAGCCCCCACACCTGAGTCCCGGACTCAGTGTGGTGCTTAGACCTCCACCATCCCTGCCTCCAATCAGGCGGTCCGAAAAGAGCCAAAACCCATGACAAGAGAGCAACGAGCCTTTCCTGCTCCCATAAACAAGTATATGTTCAGGATAATAAGTCTGTGACCTGATTAGAATCCAATGCAACGGACGGTCCTTAATCGACACAGGTGGAACAAGCATAATCCGAGCCTCGCTCGAATGCCAAACCAAGTCCAGATCCAAGTACCATTCCACCCGGTCTCCAATTATCATTCATATATTTTCTATGTGATAGTAATATAATAACAACAATAATATCTTTTCTATCTCTCGCGAGTGACAGGCAATCACTTGACTTCTACCGGAGTCCTATAGCATAGCAATATACACGATCCTGTCATACTAGTAAAACTCATAGGATAAGGATATATATATGCAAGTGGGTTTTCATTCAACTCCTTAAAACTTAATGCACGAGCATAAAATAAAGTGCAGAATAATAGGGGTTATACACCGGGGCTTGCCTGGGAAAAATATAACCAAGTTAGTCTTCTATCATGGCGACACGATCATCAAGGCACCATCTTTTCCGCTACTTCAGTCATCTACATGATCCATCGTTGTTCCTATTATGATATACGTGGATGCAACACATCGATAAAAATAGTCAACGATAACCGAAACTCTTAGAAATTCGATTACGCCTCACAAGCTAACAAGACAACTCTAACGTGGTAGTCTACGTGTCCACGTCATCAAGTAAGACTCATTCCCAGAAAATGTTTTTGTCCTACAAATACCCAATTATTTTTGACATTTGATTGATTAAATATATATTTTTGTACTAGGGCTCATTTAGTTACCATAACAAACTAATTCATATGGAGCTACAAAAATTACAGTGAGCACCTAATATTGTTAGGAATCTACTATAAAAATTTTAGAGCCAACACTATCACCAATTTACCAAAACAATTCCTACAAGTTTATATTTTGACAATATTAAGTATTTTAAAATAATTAGTGCAACCCTGGAACATTTTAAAACTAGATGAACAAAATCCATTAATAGATAGATCATGATTTTAGGAACCTAACAAAATTGGTTTCACTATTTTTGGATATCTATGTGATTTTATAATATTTACCAGAGATCCGCTCAGAAATAAAATTAACAATCTATTTCTAATTCCTCCTAAAAAAGAAAAACCAAAACTAGCCCAGTGTGGCCCAACCAGGGCGCGGCCCACATGACACGGCCCACGATGGAGCCCGCGCCCCCAGGTGTTTAAGCAAAAACGCCCCCGGTCTTTTCCCGACGTACACTGCGACCCAAACCCCAAACCCTATTCCTCCCTCTCTCAGCCCTCTTCACTTAACCCCCTAATGTTTCCCAATTTTTTGCGCGCACCTCCCCGAGTCAGGGCATGCGGCGGTGCGAATGGGAGGCACTAGGCGGCTACGCCAGCGAGCAGGGCTCGCGCCAGCCCCATCTAATCAGCCGACCACCATCACTAACCTAAACTCAGGCGCTACGTGGTGGGAGACAGGCGGGGCTCGCGGGCGAGCGCGGCCATGATGCGTGGCCGCCTGCGGCGGCGACACAGCTGCTCCAACTAGCTAGCGCCTCTAAAGGACCAACCGGCTGGCGCTAGAGCACCACAGACTTACCGCAACACTAGCTGAGGTGATGGTTGATGTGGAGGAAGGCCAGGGTGGGCTGGCCATGTGCGCGCTACGAGCTTGGCGGTGAGCCACAGTGGACACGGCCGCGACAGTGATGGCAGTGAGGTGGTAGAGGTTCGGGTGAAGTGCGTCGGGTGATGACGGAGTCAAGGTGGTTCTATTGGTGAAGCTAGGCGAGTTCAAACGGTGCTAGG